AGCACTCGCCAGCGACGGCGGGTGAAGATGGAAGTACTCGGTCATCGCGCACAATTAAACATGCTAAAATGAAACATTCACTCCCAGAGGGCGCTAAGTTTATGATGTGAGATCACTAAAGAAGCGAAGTATACAATTCTTGGCACTGTTTGGTCTCGTGTTCCAATTTTCTAATTCGCTTTCTTTATGACAGGTCACATGATGTCACGAATACTAAACGGATTCATCTCCACCGCTCTCTCATGTCAAGCAGTGGAATATTCCTTTGTCTCTGCAACATCAAGTGAACAACCAGTGCGCATCCTTTTAAACGGCATCGATTCAAACACTCACTGTTTTTAAGGCTGCTTCATGATGGGAAAGGCTGTTAACAGTGTGTTTTGACCGACAACATGAGGTTAACACCTACATCTAGGATACCCCTGTGGCTATCAAATGGACTTGACTTCCCGAAGCCCTTCATTTCCCAGTTTTGATCTCCCTTATAAGCGCATTACCATCCAATATTGAGCTACTGTCAGAGTATCCCAACTTGACTAAACTCTTTGGCGGAAAAAAGACCAACTCAATATCCATGAGCAAGCATTCACCTTAACTCCAATGGCACAGAGACGTTACTGTTTCAGACGTGCCTATCATATGATGCGATTCAGCCTCACATAATAGCCACCGCATTCGTTTCGTCCGAAAGATTCGCATCCTTCCAGACGCCCTCGTGAACTGACTGAAGAGGTGCAAAGTCACGGAACAACAGCCATTGGGACACGCCGTGTGCCAGTTGAGGCACGGTCGCCCGTGAGACACCCCCATTCCGCAGACGCTGCGTGCGCCCCGCGTGGGACCGGCCCACTCCGGCGCCGTCGCCAGAAGCAGGCTAAGCCGGCGTGGCGACGCCACGGCAGCGCCGCCAGCCGCCATCCGTCACCGGAGGCGGGTGACGTCATCACGGCACCGTCATCGGCGGGCGTCGTGCGCCGGGCGGATGCGGCACGCACTCACCTGGCGCAGTGACTCGCCCAAAGGCAGCCGCAAAGCAAGGCAAGGCGGCTCGCCCAAAGGCGAGCCGCAAATAGGCGCGGCGCTCCGTTTCAAGTCTCCACAACAGGTGCTTTTCTCGGATAACGCGTCGCATGGTGCGTACCTCGTGGTTGCAGGTCCGCATTCTCAGTGAAGCGTTTGCGATTTGTCACTGCGTGACTTGCCAGATAGACCACGAAGACAGATTTCACGCGGCCGCAAACAACGCGCAAAAAGCTGTCCTGCATCACGCCGGGGGGGGGGGGGGGGCAGCCGGACGACGCGGCCGGCTGTCGTCACCGCCGCGTCACCCGACACGCGCTGACCTCAGTACCGTGACGGCGTGTGAAGGTGTAACGGCGCAGCGGCGACGGCCGGTCTTTGGCGGCGACAGAGGTAGGTCAGCCAGCGTCACCTCACCACCGGCCTTCTGCCTCTGGCGGCGGCGGGGGGAGGTCAGCCGGTGTAACCTCACCACCAGCCTGCTGTCTCTGGCGGCGACAGCGGGAGGTCGGCCGGTGTCACCTCACCACCGGCCTGCTGTCTCTGGCGGCGACAGCGGGAGGTCAGCCGGCATCACCTCACCACCGGCCTACTGCCTCTGGCGTCGGCAGCGGGAGGTCAGCCGGCATCACCTCACCACCGGCCTGCTGTCTCTGGCGGCGGCAGCGGGAGGTCAGCCGGCATCACCTCACCACCGGCCTGCTGTCTCTGGCGGCGGCAGCGGGAGGTCAGCCGGTGTCACCTCACCACCGGCCTGCTGTCTCTGGCGGCGGCAGCGGGAGGTCAGCCGGCGTCACCTCACCACCGGCCTGCTGACGGCTTCGACCTGCTCTGTTTACCCGCTCGTGTGTGAAGTGTTCAGCATCTTTTTGTCTCTTGCTGAATGCGGTGTTTTCGGACGCCTCGCGGCTCCGACTCGGCGGCTGTTCCGTGAACAAGTGAGAGTTTACGGGACCGTTGAGGACGGTTCAGTCGCGCGGGGATGGCCTCAAACTGGGCGACGACGGATGGTGAGACACTTTCTCCTGCTGTTTAGAGGGTCCCTATAAATCTGCGATGGCCGTTTAATTTCCTTTGTGGCGATAGTGTATAAGCAGTCGAGAACTGGTTCCCAGAAAGGGGGAGTTGGCCAGACGTCGGTTCTGTTGCCTGTTCCATTAATATAGCACACGCAACCAACCGGCGCACTTGTTCTGTAGCGATCGCGACCAGCACCGTTTGGCCCAGTATTTCTCGCCGATTGGGTCTTTGCAGCCGCCGTTGGTTGGTTCACGTGAGTGCCAGCAAGGAGAAACTTGTACGGTTGCCGCAGCTGGCCGTGGCTCGGCGTATTCTCACACTGAGGTAAGCTGCAAGCGACTACACTCGGACGTTTCTCTGCGGCGACCATCCCTAGACTGCATCAAACCGTTCTGGTTTATTTGCGAATGAGACGAGCGCGATTGCTAACAATGTTGATTTGCTACACCACCCAGGAAGTGCGCGCTCGTCCCACTCAGCAGCGAAAGCCCAGTCCAAAACAACACATCTTACTGAAAACAGTTGCAACGCTGCACAGTCCACACCCCGCGGCCAGACAGCACGCGTTCTCGCATTGACGCCGCACGGGTGGCCGGGCCGAGACAGCAGCCGCCACCCTGGGCGGCCGGCCGGGGCAGCGGGTCACCGTGGGCGATCAGTCAGGCTGGCCAGCGCGCCGGTCAGCCTGGCCAGCGCGCCGGTCAGCCTGACCAGTGAGCCGGTCAGGCTGGCCAGCGCGCCGGTCAGGCTGGCCAGGGCGCCGGTCAACCTAGCTAGCGCGCCGGTCAGCCCGGCCGAGTGTGCGTCATGGCCAAGCAAGTCACGCGCCACACCCGCGCGTCCGCTGAAAATGGTAAATCGCTCTGCTCAAAATGGGACTCCGTCTGAGACTCAGATGAGCATGCGTCATGCTTAGGGCGGAGTCCCGTAACATTTCGCCAATTTAGGACGAGCTTATTGCCAAGTCATGCAGCTGACCGTGGCTTGGCGTGATCTCCCACGATGGTAAGGTGCATGTGATTGCACTTGCAATCACAGCGCACTGATCAGCACAGACCTGATTTGACCAGCTTAACCACCGACAGCGCGCTCCGCAGGTAGAACGAGCATAGCTCTCCAACGCTGCGGCGCGCTGACTACATCGACCGATGCAAATTACGGAACTGCGTCACAACTGCAGCTCTGCCAGATGGACGCCTCAATAACGGCTGCAATCGTGCATGACAATGGCGCCGTCGCGCGTGTGGCGTGGGGCGGACCTCCGGTCGGGGTCAAGCCGCTCGTGAGAAGCGACGTCACGTGACACGCGACACGCGGCTCGTGGCCGCTCGGCGCGTGGGCTGCATGCTGCGGGGCGGGCCGAGCCGTAAAATATCCCGGATCTGCCGCCCGGACCCGCCGCCTCTGCCAAACACGGACGACGTCTGCTGCACATGCTGTCAGGCGGGGCGCGTGCTGTCGGGCGGGGCGTGTTAGCGCGCAGGTACTGCCGGGAACTGACAGTAATGGTGGGAGCTCATGCCACTGAGGACAGATGACATGCACGCTACGGGTCGCAAACGTCCTGCCCGTGGTATGGCGGCTTTGATCAGCGGAAGCTTGCTGGCCTCACGGACGAGGGTCTGTAGCTTCGAGACTAGCTACCGGCTGTGCTTTGGCTTCATAACCAAAGACGGCGCGGAATATGGAGCGAAATAGCCGTAGCGCTTACGGGCGTCACACACAAACCAAACAAGCCTTGGGGCTCTTCGAATAAGAAAGAAGCCGGAGTTGTCAGGGCAGAACTATTCTGCCGGACTGCCAGATGACCGTCGTTTGGAGCTCCATGCGCAGAGGTTGCCTGTTGTTGCTATTGGGGCTTTACGACTCACTCAACTGCTAAGACTGTATGGCGTCGTCTGCCTCTCACGCTGGCAGGAAGAGCGGGCACGGGAAGGGGATGGGGGGGGGGGGGGGGGAGGGGAATGGCTCCCAGTGTCTCTGTTGTCGCAGGCAGGCAGCTTAACCACTGCCCTGCCGGAACACCATGCGTAGGGGTTTGTCGCTAGCGGCAATGTGTTAGACGATGCACAGGATTCGACGCGTCCTTCCGGGAAAAAACGCCGGCCGAGTATCCCAGTCTCCTTGCAAATAACGTCAGAAGCTATTACAAGGGATCAAAAGACGAAGTAATCGTCAGCAACGTCATTCTGTATCACATTGACGGCCTCAGAGCCCTCTTTGCAGTCTGGCATTACCTGAAGCTGTTTTGGCTTGCATAAACACACTTTCAAGGGGTGCACAACGAAAGACGAGCCGCAACCAAGATGAACAGCCGTGCATTTGGTCCCCGCACATCTCGTATAAAATCAACCTCCATCGCCCAGATGGTCATGCACTGGCAGCCCCGTCATGCATACAGCTACCAGCTGCATGCGTTGCTCGATGAACTTATGTCTGTCAACCAGCACCGTGAAAACAGGATATTTCGTGCGTAGATTTGTGAAAGGATATAAAAGGTCAGACGCCAAATGGCGCCCGTGAACTCTCATAACCCGCGGAGTAATGTCTTATGTATAGGACAATTTGCTATCTACGAAATATATGTGTAGGACAATCTGCAGACGCGTATGCGTGTTTGCAGATTGGGGCTGTTGTACAGTGTGCTGCAGGCTACGAGGCCGGTCTGTGGGACAAACCAGTCACGAGCTTCGTAGAGTAACCCCGGTGGTGACGCGTCATTTCCACCTCTTGGGATTTTTCCCTCCAATCTTAGATATTCGGGAGGATGCGCTCTCTCATAGCTCCGGTGTATTCCAGGGCATTACAACCAGTATACCCGATCAGATTGATATGATAATACACAAACAACAGAGGAGCCTGTATGGACTCAAATTACAGACACATGGTACATTGGCTTTATTGTGACGTCCATGTGCGAAGCGAAATAACAGACTGAAGTAGAACATGGGCAGCTGACTAGATATCTACGGTGGCCATTGCATTCCATAGCGATTGCTATGAGCTGATGACGTCAGATTACTATAGAACGTGCGTCAATGGAAGGCTCATTAAGTCGAACACCGACGCGGTGCGGACATGCCTCCCTACATCCCAGAGACGGACACTGTTAACATTTACAAACATCAAGCCTCTGGAATCGGATGCAACTAGACTTCTGATGCAAGTCCTGCTACGGTCACAACACAGGTACTCTTTTCAGCCTACAGCAGCAGCGTCCTCTCGCAAGTCCCTCCGACCTCGGAGAACAAAGGCAAATGGCACATAACAACATGGCAACAATGATCAACAGCGCACATCTAAACACGTATCAGAGACCAGCTGAAGACAATGTAACAAAGCTCTCGCGTCCCTCATTGGGAGCAATTATGGCAGTCTAGAAGCTTGTGGGATTGTTTACTGTGTCAACCCAGCTGTCTTTAATCAGGCACACGCAGGTCCTGCCTGAATCTACGGTCAAAAGAAAACATCTAGCTCCCGAGTACACTCACAATCACGTACCGAACCAAATGCTCATTCTCAGACCGAATTCGACCTAGCCACTCATAATCCGTTGACCCGGCAGGCTCCAGGCCAAGTCCGTCTCAAATGCTCAGCGACGGACGTTTCTTCCTGTACTTCCCGTTCTTGCCAAAGATGTTTCCGAGGACCTTGGAGACGCTGTTGACGCCTGCCTTGCGACGGATGGGCAGCATCTTGAGTAGTTGCAGGCTCCTGGCCTCCTTCAGCAGGGTGTGGAAACCGAGGGAGACGCCGGTCACGCTCTCGGCTGCCGACACCTCGTAGAAGGGACAGCCGTATGCGAGCGACAGCTCGTGCCCGTCCTCTGTGTCCACTTGTCTGAAACGACAGACACGCATCAGCAGGGGCGCGGGCGTGCTGACCGTTCGTGGTTTGCCCGCATGGCGCGCATAGGCAAGTGTCGTGTTCGGCGGCACGCTGTGAGTCCGCTAGTAGTGTCGTATTACTCTAAACATTCCTAAACGTTCTGGAGTGAGCAGTTTCGACAGATGCCGAAATGTTACTCATCCTGGCATTGTCCGCTTGGAAGCATGTTAAGCATGATATCGACTGGCAGAGACAACACCTAGTAAGTACATATATTTAGCGACAGTTGCCAGCGATGCCTTATCGCCAATCAGGTGTGATCAATAACATCAGCACGGAACTGCAAAGAAGCGGGGAACGGGGGTTGAGGTGGGTGGGTGGGGGGAAGCCACTCTCTAACTTCATTAAAGTTTGGCAATGGACGCACGTCAGGTCTGGAGACAAACTCAGCGCTAGCTTTTTGAAATTGTGTTGCGTTGTAGGAAAAACAAAGCAGGTGTAACATCCGTTTTAGTTCCTGCCGTATTCCGTGAGTTCCCGCACCCCAGGATCGGTGCATCGAACTTCTCGCGTTGGGTATTCATCACCCGGAGGGATGAATCACTTCTCTAGTTCTCGTTTGCATCACGAAGTGTTCTATGCAAATGGAGCCTTGAAAGTGATGAACAGCCGCACCCCGAGGAAAACCGAGCACGGAATATCGCATACCAAGTGCGAGTAGGGGCGCGAGAGGTGCTTGCTCCCGTAAACGATGGCCTGAAAAGACCGCGTTTTTCCTGGGCTATCTCAGCATCAAAGTGGGTTGTCTAACATCTAGCAGCGTCGGTGCCATTAGGGGATTCGATTCAAAGAGCCTGGGCCAATTAAACATGACATCCGCGGGCTTAAGGTCGTGCCGTATACGGAGGCGTCTCGGCTGCCACTCAGCGCGCCGCCCTGCGGTATAATCGGGATAATTTACCACCGGCGTGCCGCTGAGAGTAAACAGCTCGGAGCAGCGGAGGGACCGTTACCAAATCACGCCACCGAGAGCCTGTCGCCGCTCGGTGTCCGCCGACTGCGGGACCGGCCCTCTTGTTCCGCGCCGTGGAGGGTGACAGGGGCGCCACCTGACGCGCTTCTCCGCGGCCGTTTTACGGCCGAGCACCGCAACAACTCCCGCCGAAAATAATTGGCTCGTTTCATCTGTGTCGCTGTCGCCGAGATAAACGACGCTGCGGCGGCCAATTAGCCGGCCTCCACGCCGGGTTTAATTAGAGGCACATCACGCCGCGCTTTGAGCGCCGGCGCCAGCGCCGCCTCACGTCCGCACCCGGCGTCGCTCTGAGGCGCCCACCGGAGGCGACGGGTTCTGTGCGCCGAGCCGCGACGGCCGACCGGACGCCGCCGCCGTCGCGCTGTCCAGCGGCTGTGGGGGCGGCGCACGGTCGGTGCGCACGTGACGCGCCACGGGCTCCGTCCGGACGTGACGGAACGAAGGAATGTGCCGGAGAAATGCCAGGGAGGGTTGACGTGGTGAGCGTTCTGCGGGTCCGAGCAGTGGGGTACGATTGGATGATGCGCTAAACGTAGTGGAAACTTGCCCAGTTGGCCGTCCAAGTTACCTCCTAACGGCTTGACGATTCCCAGCTAGTGGCGGACCGTGCGGTCTACCTGTTCTTGGGCTGACTAGATGTAATCATAGCCACACTGTTCCGATATACACAGCAGGACTTATGTGAAGCAGAAGGATTAGCTAGCCAGCCACCGATGGTACGCCAGTACAACACAGCCACCTGATGATTCCCACCGCTGTATGGCTAGCTGCGAGATGTTCACAAGACATCCATGCGTGGCACCTGCCATGTTTAGTCAGTCCTAGGGTCTAATGCCACCATGTGTCCATTCCCTCTACGGCCCTGGCACGCTGCTGGTTGGCGCACCATGTCAAAAGTTGGTGTGCCTACCAATGTCAGCTCAATTAGCTCCCACCCAGCCAGCAGCGCGAACGAAGGCAACAACGCCGTGCTCTGGCCCGATGGCAGCAAGCGCCTGTCTCACTATAGTGTGCCTGAGGCGTGAGTATGGTGACGGTGCAGCCAGCCTCATCAGCTTCATGCTCGGCCCGTCCTTTTGTCGACCCCGAATCAGCCCCCGCGCCTCCGTCCCGGCGGGTAAACACAGTCTGCGACCGACACTCAGGCGTCTCGCGGCGCCAGCGCTGGCCTTCGTAAATCTCCGGCCGCCGCCGAGCAGGGGCCGTGGGGCGCGCCTCATTTGTGGCGGCATTAAGCTCAGCGAGCCGAGCGCCGCCGCGCCGCTGCCGCCCGGCGCGGGCCGGCGCGGCCCGGCGCCGCTGCCGCCCGGCGCGGGCCGGCGCGGCCCGGCGCGCTGCCGGCACAACAATGGCGCTCATGGGCGGCCGCGGACCGGCGGCGGGGTCAGTGGCGTCCCGCCGCCGGTCCCGCCTGATTAATGGACGACCCGGGCCGGCGCGGCCACCACGCCAACCTCCGGCAGATGGTGACGACGCCGTGACCACCGACGCCCGGCAGCCGTCGTGGCTTCGGCGCAAAAAGCACTTCAACACTGGAGATTGTGGCAGGAATGTGGCATGTGCTACAGATAGCTACATGGGCTGGAGAAATTGTGACCGTAACCGGGCTTGGGCTGTCAGAGCTGACAGCATGGCACAGAAGGGGTACTTGAGTCGAGAGCAGCCGGTGGTCACTACACGGTCCAGACAGCTGAACATTGTTGCATGGCCAGTATGAGTCTTATACCGGAGCGAGCCAGCCTGGCCCGGCACCGGCGGCCGCACCCAAACATGACGCACCTGGCGTGCTCGAGGTCGCGCTTGTTACCCAGCAGGACGGTGGTGAAGTAGCCGGGCAGCTTCTCCTGGCCGAGCGTCTCCAGGAAGCCGCGCGCCGCCTGGAAGCTGGACCGGTCGCACACGGAGTACACCACCAGGAACGCCTCGCCCCACCGCAGGTGGTTGAACAGGCAGCCGGTCGCCTGCGGGCATCACGCGGGGGTCAGCGGGTCACGAGCCGCGCGCATCATAGGGAAAACAGGCAAACAGGCGAGGGCCGCGTATCAATGGAGGACGCTGATGGAACGGCGGGTGGCGTAAAAACAGGCAATATCAAACAACAGAAAACGCATCGCCGTGCTCACGTCCATGCCTTTTGTTATGGCGTCCAGGAAGAAGCGCCGTGATATGCACCATCCTTCATTTAATAAGCTAACAAAAAATACCTCTCGCTAACAAACACTTGCACTTGTGATTGAGCACCGCATCAAAACACCTGATTGTCCGTATTGTAAAATGTCTGAATGCTGTGCTGTTTTGGTTGGACTGCGCAGTGGAGGTAGGTTTTGATAACATTTATCACAAAATCACTTTTTACCTAACACAGACTGTGAATAAGAGCTGAAAACGGTTGTGACCAGTGACGCAAGCGTTTTTACTGTAGAAAACAGCGCCACAGCGAAAAACAATTCTGGAGCCATGTAAACTTCACAACCAATCCGCCCAATTCCGTACCTGATTCCGAGGCAAAGAAAACCGAGCTGATCGACGCTTCTGTCGGTACAAAAGCCGTTGTGTGCGCACCTGAGCCCGCTCGGCTCGGCTCTCCGTGCAATACGGCAGTGACCGCGGCTCATTATGCGGTGCCCTTGACCCCAACAACGGGCAGATTTCGGTGCGGCACTGGACGATAGGCCAATCTCTGCGCCGCGTGAGTACATTAAACGTCAGTACCTCATGGCAGGTGTAGCGGCGGGACGATGGTGCGTGTTCGTAGTTATATTGCATAGCTATGGCGATTACTTATGGCACTGACCACGCTGTTGAACCCCACCACGCGAAACCCGGTTAAGGCAAGAGTTAAGAGGCATGGGAGGTGGCAGTCGTTTTGCGCGTCTAGCAGTCAATGACCGCCGGAAGTATCCGATCTAGCTCTTTCAGAAGCTGCGCACCCGCAGGTGTAAATGAAAACGCTTCAATTACGATTAAATGGTGGCTTTGGGGTTCCATATACAATAATGCCTGAGCGGGTAGTGGTTTGCATTGTTTTATTACTGACATCCGCTCTGAGGGAAATCCCGCGCAGAAATAAGTGCCATTTAGGGGGACACAGTTTGACGTCTTCAAAAGTATGGCAAACCTACGTATCAGAGGGCAGCAGTTCCACGACACTCAGCTGTGATAGTTGTCCCATCATGCAATTGATAGTTGCCAATATATTAGATATGACTGAACGCGGTAGCTTAGCTTAATTTAATCCTTAGTTGTCATAATCGCACAAGCTTTTAGACAGCTTCGCTGCGTGCAAGGAACCATAAGCCGTTCGTTGGGAGAAAAACCAATCGAGAAATACGTTACAGGCCACGGATATGTTTCCCAAACGAAGAAAATAAAAAAGTAATCACCAGGGGCAACACAGATCCTTATCCCTAGATTTTAGACCTTACGAAAGGTGAGCTCCCGTTGGTCATGTTTACCACAGGGATCATACGCCACCTCTCCCAGCGGGGTTCAAGGTTCAAGTGTGATCTAAAGCATGAGCTCCGTCTTAATCGTATACAAATCACTCCTAATATTCTGCGTATGCTCTTAAAGAGCAACAGGAAGGAAATGGGTGCTTGACCGTTAGTTACTGATTCTAGGGCAGTTTAGTCCAAGAGGAAACTACTGTTACTGATGCTCACTCCCGCCGGCTATTTGCATGAATTTCTTGTCACATTTTATTAACATGTGGAAGCCAAATGGTAGAAGGTGGAACGGTAGATTGGTGGAAGACGAATTATTTGGGTTCCCACCATTACAAGACGCAACGAAGGGATCCTCTGCGTGCCTCCAACATTTCTTTGTCAAACGAGGTACGGCTGCGCGAAAAACACCACCAACAAAGCGACCTAGAACTCTCGGTAAATTACATGAGACGCCTTTGAGGTAACCCGGGATTATAATGTGACCTCAGTTCGGGGGATTAAACAGCATTCCTGACAAAGACAATCATATGCTATGCTTTACTGAACCGAACATGTTTTCTTTACTCTGAACCGAAGGCAAACCAATGCGCTCGAGCATTAATTTGAAGAGTACAAAACATAACTTTTGACGGAGAGACTACATATCGATGTGCAATACATTAGTCACTTCTTTGGGCATTATCAAGCTGGGAGACCCACGGCTAAAAAAGATATCATCATGTAATTCATCCACCTTTCATACCGGGCGCAGTTGACTTATATGTTCCATTAATCTGATTAACAAAGATGCTGCTTGTACGACCTGCCCCGTGATTTGTTTTCAAATGTTGTTTGATAACGTGTTCCGTAAAGCTAAGCAAATCAGGACATAAAGAATCCTGGGAATGGACATCAGCTAGAATAAAAATAAACATACATGTGGGCAAATAGAGATGCAAGGGTTTCAAAGCTCATCTGAAATATGACTTAAGATACTGCGTCTTTTTATTTGTCTGCTGGATGTGAGAAAACAGATATGAGTAACATCTAGGAACTCCATAATCATGCTAAAAAGCGATTGGCATGCTTAGGAGGGATTTCCGGCCTTTCTGGCGACAACTGATACAAGTTTCTGTTTGAATGCAGTGGGTTAGTTTTGGGATGACATGAGGGCCATGATGATTGTCTCGCGTGGCGAAGGTGATACGAACAAACGTCACGAGAGGACGGGCACTTTAACCCGTAGGTCTTGACAGAAACACACGATGAAAAACAGGTTAGGAAATTAACAAGCCTCGAGCGAATATGGTATGTTGTATACATGCTGAACACAAACATTTTGTGTAAGGGTTTGCGCTAAACATTGACTTGAACGTTTTGGTTGGTGCTGGAATGTGCGGATATTCCTTTGTGTTCCTCTAGGCGTCAGCAAAAGCCTCAGATTACACCAAATTTACGGAAATGGAGTAAATCAATCGAAACGAGGAGTAATGTGATGCAAGCTTCCCTCGATATGGCCTGCAGTAACAGCTTCCAATTATTAGCACACAGCGGCAAGGGCTTAGCTCGATTTGAGCCAGTTTTGCCTCACTGACATTTCAGTCACATGCGAGGCTTTCCTCTATTGACTCTATTTTGATCATACCTGACAAGCACAAACCACTGACGCTAATAACTCATTTCTGCCTTTTCTCAGTGACTGAAAACCGTGGACGTGATAAAGTCTGGCCGGCTGTCGTCACGTTCGCCGCCGTCACGGGTCTGACCGCGGACCCAGGCCAGCCTCCTCTATACCTTTCCTTCATTAATCACGCCTGAGGTGGCGCCCGTGCGCCCGGACATTCCTGCCGACCGTGAGAAGGCCAGCACGGAGACCTGCGAGGGAGCTCCTCGCCCGGCAGATCACGCCGCTCAGGCCGCATCATCATCACCTTCATCATCACTCTCATCATCATCATCATCACTCTGTCGGCCGTGACCCCTCCGTCGAGGCTGCAGTCACATGGCGCCGTGCGAACTGGCCGACATTAATGAACTGGCAAGAAAAAGACATTGCAACGGCGGAGAGACGCGTTACGTCTTTGGGAATCCTGATGACACGTGAATTCGGGAGGGCGAGGCTCGGGGGGTCGGGAGGCTTGGCACGACTGGATGCGAGGCACATGTGCGGGGATGAGACGATGCCGTCCATCCTGCTTCCCAAGGCCGTCCATGTCGTGAGCGTTGAAGCCTTGAGCGGGATGATGTCCGCGTGGGTTTTGTTGTTGCCTTCTGGGTAACTTAGCCAGCTGCCGGCTTCGCTGTAAGCTGTGGCGTCGTGCTGATACTCACAGGCTAGGGAACTTTATGAAACCTGTCTGAGTCGAATTGATTCACAGCAACTTTTACTACACACTTACTACATCACTGAAGACACAAGTATTGAGAGAATCTTTGATGACCTATTTTCGGACACTAATTGACGGCTGGAGTGCGTCAATACCCCAGGCTGATCGCATACCTCGGGGTTATGCCGCACCGACCACCCGGAACCACCCTGCCTCTGACCCCTCACGGAGTGAGGCCGGAGTGATCCACTCCGGGCGTGATCTACTCCGGACGTGATCCAATCCGGGCGTGATCCACTCCGGGCGTGATCCACTCCGGGCACGATCCACTCGGGTCAGCGCTAATGAGGCTGAGATGTGAGACCCAATGAGACAAAGCCGATGCAAAGCTTCTATCCGAGGCTTTACTGCTGCCATTAGCAGAGCGAGCAATCAGCCCACGTTTAAATCTATCATCCGGGTGGAGTGCACCTAATGCTTTCGAAGCGACAGATCGCATCACATGTGATCACTTAGTTCTTTGGGCGGCCATGACAAGATCCAAGATCCAACGGAGAGAGCATGACGCAAGCGTGAGTGCATGGTGTGCATATCAAAGATTCACGCGAGTGCCCATCGGAACAGGCTAGTTCAGTGTGGCTTGCACCCTTGTAGGTTGTCTGGTGCCTTCCTGTGATATGTGTATGCAATCTGCGTAAGTATGCGTGTAGGTGCGCAAGCGGCATTTCATCAATGTGTGTTCGTAAGAAAAATTAATTCGGCTCACCGTGGATAAGCTGATGCGATGACCCCGCCAGTAGTAGCAGTTCAGTAATGTCGATAAAAAAGTGACGAATCAATTTTGCTCCAAAAAGTTCCGAAGGATGCTGAGACCGCGAGTAGCCAGCAGAAGCATCATGATGATTACAACCACTCCTAGGATGACGCTCATTCGACGCGTTAGATCACTTCATGATAAAGCGTGCGACAAAGTAACTAGTTACTCATGTAAGCGGCCATACGCCCTGCTCATGTGGGTGAATGGGAGGCCACACACCCCTCTAGTGATGGACTGTCCTGACGACGTTCTCCAACCCCCTGGTCGCGTCGAGGGTCCGTAAACAGACACCGGCGAGCGCCAGCCCGGCCCGCCGCGCGCGCTATGGCTTTTCTCCCATTGTTTTGGATTTCTCCGCGGCCGTCGGCACATGTTCAGAATGTCGGCTAATGACCTGGCCGTCAAATAAAGCCCATTAGACGGATGTTGCCGCGACCTGGGCAGCGTGATTCATGGCGGCGGTCCGCGTGGGCGGCGGCGTGCTGCCGGTACATCAGGCCACCCCCACGTCGCACGCGGCGCTCGGTGGATAATGGCCCGGCCCCGCGTCAGTAAACAGAGGTCAGGCGGCGCCTCCGCCCAAGGGCTGAATCGTGACGGTAGCGCTGTATTCGCGCGTGAGCCATGGGAATCTGCCAGACCTTCTCTCGACTTGAGGATTGGCTCTCTCTCTCTGGGTTTAAGGATTGTGTTCTCTGAACATGAGGATCGGTGTTCTCCGAACCTGAGGATCGGTCTTCTCTGAAATCGGGATGGCGATGGTTTGTATGCATATCGCACAGCTTACACGGTTAATGGACGGAGGAGGGGTGTGTTGGCGCCGCCTATAACGCAGCGTTGCAGTGCTTTCGGGGAGATGCATGCTTTGACGCAACAGTTCGTGTGAATGCCATTACACTCCAGGTTATTCTTCAGGTCCACGAGCCCCAGGTATCTCCAAATGCCGTTATTTATCCGCGCCCACGTACCATGCACCTGCAGCTGTCCAATATGTCGACCCCCGTCTTGACGCCGTCGAAGGTCACCGTATGCGTATATCTCATGTCTGCAAGACAAGGCCAGCGGGTCAGGCACGCCCGTCACAGTGGGTGGGACACCACGGCAGTGGGCGGCGGCAATTCTGGCGCGGTATCGGTCGCGATTCATATGCAGGCAGCTGGCGCGTTTGCATGCGAGCCGCGCGTTAACAAAGAGGATACACCCGGAAGCAGAGGTTATCCGCTTTTGCCTCGGTGGGCACGGACGAAAATATTCATGGCGACTCGTATGCGGTCGCTGCGGCGTTTAAGGTGTGACGATGGCTTTGTCGTGTCGCACATATGTCAACGCGCACGAAAACGATGAGTTATGTGGTCAAATGAACCTGCTTTTCCCAAGCATGAATATGTAGTGCTGTTCGCCGGGATGAACGTACCGCCACTGGAGCTGTAGTCTCCTATGTATCTTTTCGTCAGGTATCGGACGCACAGTGCTGAAACGAAAAACAAACTCGTCATAATGGAATACGTGGCATTGCTTATGCCAAAACGCTATCCTGTTTACCCAGGGAAAGCCCTTAGCCATAACGACAAGAAGGCCTGCTGATAGTATACTGTGGCGATCGGACAACACAAGCGTCTGTATGTGATTCCTTCATGTCTGGTGGTGCATCAATAAAGATGGCTGCTTTCAGCCCGATGTGAGCACTGTTTGTAGCCTAATCGGAATAACAGGTGGAGATCCCACAATCCCAAGCAGTAAATCACACTTAATCCCTTCCCAGAAGAGTGAGGTAGATGCTTTCAGATCCCCAAATCTGGGATTTTCTTGATCATGTCTGATTGGGTTGAGTAATAGTATCGGGATCCATAAACGCAAAGATTCGAGCATTTTTACAAAATCCCCAAAACGTCGACTATAATGCTAATTAGCTTGCGATTCACATCTGTTTTTTCGGCACGCCTCGACATGGAGAGAGTTTTAGCTATCGCTTTGATAGGTGCCTATGCCACTTGTGCAATGTTTGTGCAGTGTTTGCGGCATACTCCTAAGACTGAGCTAGGTGCAGGCTAGATTTGGGAAAGATTTGGGGAAGAAGAAAACTTGATGTGCTAGACTTGAGGAAACAAACATCTATTTCGCCATTCTAAAGGGAGACCACGAAAGGTCTGGCTACATGAAATGCACGTATGAAAATATCTCACGGTCGTCCTTTCGATAGATTTCGGGAGTTTGTCCACTGCGTAGGTAAAATCGCTTCTGTATTAGAAAAGGACGTCACGAATGCTACAACTGCTACGCCATAAACGTTTGATGATGAAGCCCTCCGCTAGAAGCTTTGCGGTGCGCATTTGGATAGGAGGAACCCATTGTCGTTGAAATAGTCGCTCGCTCGCTCAGGCTGTTTTTTTACTAACTCCGAGAAAAACACGCCTCACCTGACGTTCTGCGCAGGGAAAACTACGTTCAGCGCAGGTGACAAAAGCCACGCGTGAAGACGATCATTCCCAGAACTACATTGTAATGCAAACAAAAATGGCACAGAACAGTGCATCTTTGCTACGTTTTTATTAATATACAGACATTAAGCGTGCCGCATCATTCGGTACAGCTTTCCTGATCTCTCAATTACATGACAATGAGAGCAAAGAAGCTCTTACACATATAGATGACAGCAAACCTCCGAAATAAGGAACACCAGACCTTTCATTCAACCCAGTTATTCATTGATGCCAGCGCAGCATAAAAGAACACAGGGACATATGAGATAGTCTTGGCCTCTGTTTGAACGAGGAGCGGGGTACGGTTGTCAGTGACTGGGGATAGCAGGACTCCGGCCAAGTTGGCGTGGTTCATCCGCCAAAACGTGACATCCGCAACTCGCAAGTTATCCGATGCACGTCAGATGCACACATATGCCGGTATCCGATGCGTGCACACGGTTGAACTGCAGTGCGAGCGGGACAGTTGCGATAACGTTGGGCGCTGACGCTACAGAGGTTTGGGACAACATATTTGCAACTCACTTTTTAAACCAAGAAAAATTGTAACCCTAAACACATGTTCTTTCAATAAAAAAGAGCAAAACAGTTACCTTCCTTGCACTTGCTTTTGTTAAGCCCGTGGCGCCTTAAACGTACGGTCTAGAGCTTCATCATGTACCTAGATCCACTTTGTAACTTCATGCGGTCCTTAAGCCCCTGTTCAAGCTAACATTTTTCAAAAATGTTGCAGAATGAGAAAAGAAAGATTGAAGAAACACAGCATTGGAAGTAGAGGGAGATACTTCAGCATCCCAAGTACTCAGCGGAAGGATTGCTTCTCGGTTGGCCTGGTACCTCGAAGCAAGAATCCTGGGAACACTCAAACCAGCCGGCAACATCTCCCGAGCCCGCCGTGACATACCTGTCTTGCCGACGCCCGGCGCGCCCAGCACGAGCACCTTGATCTTGTCAAGCTGGCCTTGGTTCTGGCTGAGCTCGGTGTTGGTGCTGCTGGAAGCACAGCTCAGCGTCGACACACTGCTCTGCGAGGAGCAGCGGCTGGTGATGAGCATGGTGCAGCCGCAGCCGACCTCCTCCTCCGAGTGTCACCAGGTTTGACCTCACGGACAGCGGCGCAGCGCTACTACCGGCTCCCCGGTCCCAGTCACTCGCAGTCGGCCGGGTCCATGGCCACTCGCGCTCCCCCGGGGTGCTGTTCACTTGGCCGCTCCTGCAGTCTCCCGCCGCCGCCGGCCGGCGTGGAACGCCGCGCTCCCTACACGATAGCGTCACACGGAGTGCTGCAGTCTCCGCACGACGGCGGTGGTGCTGCAGTCTCTGGAGCGGCGGCGGGACGCGGACGGCGCCACGCGTGGTCCTCGTCCCAGACGGCACCGAGACGCGCTCCCACCCGGTGCGACCGCCCGCTCACGACTAACGCCCGCCGGCCGCGCGCCGCGCCCGCACCCAGTCCCGTCCGCCCGCCGCCAGGCGCACCACGCGACCCGACGGCCGGTCACGTGGTCACGTCGGAGCCTTGGGAGCAGCGCGAGCAGTGACGTCACGGCGGAGCGGACGTGACCCGGGCGAGGCTCTGCAGCAGGGGGCTCCATGGGGTGTAGTGGGTCTTGTCCGTCAAAGATCAGCAGGGGCGTTTACTTCCGCGTTGCTTTGAGGCGACGACGTATCTTGGTGAATTCAGAGTTGGTGCAGTTCTAAATTAACGCGTGCCGGCGTGGCTTCTCAGTGCAACGCACTCGGATGGGGATGAGGATGAACTGACATACACGCGCCAGATGTTTCAAGAGCTGGCAGAGCCAGAGGCACCAAATTCACATGGCAAATAGGCCTCTATGTGAACTCATTTGTGAAATACTTGCAGCTCTCCAGGTGGTGAAATTCGGGTCAAATAATGACAAACTATTTCAAAATCCAAACACGCTGTCCGAAGTGCCCACAAGCCTACTCACGCAGACAAATTTTGCCTAGACGCTGTTTCCAAAGGTCACTCGTGTTTACATCAGGTCAGTAATCTTAGTTGACTTTTAAAGATAAAGAATAGCCAGAAACACTCGAGAATGTTGTGATGTCAGAGCTTAAATCAACATTAAGAACTATCTCAGGCGGCAAGTTTCTCAGAAAAGTTGATTGAGGTCATTTAGGGTCAGTAAACTTCTATGTAAGCTTATTTGCGTCTTATTGTCACAGCAACCTCTTAAAGGGAGTGTCCCACCTTTAGGGCATATCGCAGTTGTAGTCCCGTGAAACCTCAGTGTTCGTTAAGTCTTGTACAAGCATTTGGTAGCACCACTGCAACACCATCAAGATATAATTTGAATATCAGTTTTGACCATTCTCGAATCCAAACTACGGTGTCAACGCTTTATAACGCCACTACCCTTCTTCCCTGCGGTCACGATCCATGTCGTCATGACAGTCAACGCGTACACACTGGTGCAAATAAACTGACGTTTGTGATTGGTCCAGTGGGCAAGGGCCTGTTACCGAGAAGCACATCGGTTGAAGTTGGAACCAACGCGTCATATGGATCATGTGACACTCCCATGCAAGGCCGTGTAATAGGGCATAATCATCCTGGGATTTTCCGGTACATTTCCTTCACCACTACAGTGACGTCATAAAGTCGCAGCCTGCCATCACCGCGCCGCCTGCATCACCTTCGCGTCCGCTACACCGTTGCACCTACTAACAAATGCATCCGATGATCGCCACCGGGCACTTCAGGAAGTACTTTGAGGAAAAATGAAAGGGTATTTTTGTCACCCCTGCTGTAAAACAGCGAGCATAGGCCTAGGAACCAGGACCCCATGTCCCATGGTACTCACATTTGCTGGGGATGCCAAACATTGAGTCTATAGCGATGCATTGAAGTTGGCCAGCCCACAGCTTTTAAATGCAGGTTAGCGAACCTGCCCAAGGTCCAGCCACTGCCGAAGAAGAACTGAGCGGCACCAGGATCATCACCCGACCTGTGGCGTTGAGCCTCAGCACTATACATAATAACGCGCTGGGTTGCACTGGTGTGCGATCGAGGCAGTTTGAGACGACGGAAGAGATATGCTGACTGGTAGAACATAGGACATTGTGGACATTGCACATTTCGTCAACTATGCCGCGAAGCCTCCGAAGGTCGTGGCGCATGGCGTTAATCAAGATCATATCCGTCACGCCATGCAGCTGATTTATCGGACACACGCATGACTCATAATTCGCCGTATTTTACTAAAACGATTCTTGCGCCCAGCATACACTTCATTGTGCACACTTGACGAGGACACGAAATAAACAGGGGGGGGGGGGGGGGGGCGGAGAACACAGCTATAGATTTTCCAGCGCAAATCCACAGCTATGCGACATGATAACCAGCCTGAAACAACCCAAACGTTTATGTGCGAAGGAACCGTCTCTGCCTCAGACAGACACACAACCATGCAAGACAAAACATATGGCATAACGATGTTCATTTAAGGTCACTTTCGTATGCTCACATAAGCACAACGATGTTCACTTCGCGCTGTCCACCTAATATCGCAACTGTTAAGCTGCGCGCCTGGCAGCAGCTCGCTCAGCCCCGGCCTAAGCCATCTAAGGCACAGGTGGATACGCGTCTTCACCAGCTTCCGAGCAATCCGCTTGTTCAGCGCAGAACTTTCTCAGCAGGAGCTTTATGGGGCGGTCCACGAAGCCAATGTCTCGGTCCACGAAGCCAATGTCTCGGTCCATTCCTCGGTCCATCACTAGTTGGAACACGATCTCGAAAGCCTCGACAACGCTCGTCCAGGCCGGCAACGGCACCATCAGACCACCCTGTCTAATTGTGTGTATCCAGTTGTCTGGCACACAGCTGGGTGATGCATCTCGGGTCGACAGTCCCGCACCTGGATCGAGGTGTTTCCACTTGACAGCCACGAGGCCCGCAGCGAGGGCCAGCGCCTCGTGCTTGATGTGTGTGCCCTCGTCCATCTCGTCGCCGCAGCTGGGGCCATTTTTGGTCCTCTCGCCGTCACCGCCATGGAGCTTGCCTTAGCCCAACTCGTTGAACCCGTTGTCCTCGTCCACTTCGTTCAGGACGGGCATTGGTGGCATCGCGGCTGCTTCCAGGCAGGCGGCCTCCACGTCGTCCGTATGCGCTGCCGCTTCCATCACAGCTGGATTTTGGATCTGCGAAATAACGAAAGTCATTTCCGCGTACCTATCAGGCACATTAATCAGACCTTTTTACAAATCACCAGTTTTGTTTTTCATTACGACAGCAAAAGGTCTTGGACCCGGACATGCCCATTCTCTCGTTATCGCATGCTTGTTTTTGTACACAACCACCTTTTCTGTGGTCCAGCGTGACATAATCCGAGCGGGTAAGAGGGATGGTCAACGGCCGACGAGTACTCGCGGCGTGCACCACTCTGATATCTCCCGCTCCTGGCCATAACCCCAGATTTGTCTGTCTGGACCCGTTTCATGGTCCCATTTTATTGCATCGGCTTCCCCAGGAGGCTGGCGCCGCCATTACTGTTTTTCGACGCAAAAATACACTAGAATGCACTGCACTCCGAGGCTTCAACCCCCCCCCCCCCCCCCGCTTCCATTCGTCTCTACCCGTGAAGTTCAAGGTCTATGGTCTAGGCACAGCAGCAGTTATTTCACCATGATATTGCTGTATGTAATCCCGGAATTTGGTGACCAGGTAAATAGCTTTTATTTGAAACCTCAGACACTATCGTGAACAGTAACACGAAGAGCCCAAAAGTGGTTCAAAAGTAACAAGGCTTGCAAAAAGCCGAGTGAACATGATGGTACGCAGGTGAAAGAGCTGTTTAAGGCACCAGGGCAAACCAATATTAGAAGCTCATTGATGCGCTAGGTACTGTACCTATTAACCGTTGTGGGATTTGTTGGTCGGGTCACAGCGCATAGATGTACTGTCAATGGGGCTGGGACTCGCTCGTGCAAACTCACCCTCCCCTCCCCGCCGCAAACCCTGACTACGTCCCTGACCCTCACCCCCTTCGCCCGTGTAGCATGGATGGCTGTGCCACTTGTGTGGTAGTCAGGCCCCACTTTGTAAACAAGAGCATGGTCGGAAAATCTCGCTTTAATTTCGTATTGTAGTCTACAAGTTGCACAGAGCCGCATGGATTACGCGTGCATTAGTGACTGTGAATCAGGTTCAAAGATTTCTGCATAAAACAGACGAGAATTTTCCTTTTAAGCACACGCATACTCACTTCGGCGTGCCGGCGATGTCCAGTCGCATAGAAGGAACTATACCTGGTCAAAGGCATGGTTTAACACGCGCTCGAGCGCGGGTCAAATTGAACCCCCGAAGGTTTTTCCGGAATGGTTTCCGAACGGCGCGGCGTAGCCGCATCAAATTTCGCACGGCTGTAGACAATTGAATAGCAGATCTTTTGACATAAAACAAATTTAGATGTACCTTGTAAGGTCACTGACCCATGGCAGGTCAAAGTCAGACGATGGTTTGAGCGAAGGCAGTTTCTAGGGAATCGTCCAATTTGATACAACGACGGAGAGTTTGATTAAGCCACACATCTCTGAGATGCTTTCTCAGACAAAAAATATCGAATAAGCAAATTACGCTGACCTAAGTTCGGGTACGAAGGTCAGACCAAGGTCAAAACCAACCTGATTTATTACTCTAGGGCTTGCTGTATGGGATAGTTTGTGGTGCTCATTTCAAATTTATCGACGGCAGGAATCGAATTATGCATCTTTCATTGACTTCTTAGAGGTCAAAACAGGTCATGGACCTAAGATGAACCGGGTCGACGTTCTGTGTTAGAAACATACTGCCTATCGTAATCTTTGTCGCTTATTCAAATGCAGAACTCAGAACAGTCTTGTATGATTTTGGTCACCATTACCTTAAAAGGGTCAAACAAGGTCACTGACCTCAAATGGGCTTGTGACCTTTTGCTTAGAAACAGTTGCCTAAGTTCTGGAGCACTTAAGAGACCAACCTGGAATTTGACTGTGTTTGGCCTTATTTGACTTGAGGGACATGACCTAGGAGACTCAAAATTTGACTTAAGTGAGTTCACGTGCAGTCAAAACATCCTGTAAAGTTGGTGTTTCTAGCTTTCTTAGTTCTTGAGATGTCAGGGGGGGGGGGGTCAAATTAACCCTCACCCGATCGGAGGGTATTTAGCCAGCCACCAGAGCACGTGTTAACATTGGGTACGAGACTGGCCTTAACCAGATGGCCGGGATCACAGCAATGCTCTTGAAAATTATCAAATCAGATTTCTGCATTCTCCGCACTTATATTGTTAGCCCAAAAGCAACAGTGCGCTCATGTTTTCAGAACAGTTGGATCGTTTTTTGGAAAAGTAAAAAATGTCTTTATTATGCCGTTCCACATTCTTGCAAGGGGCCACCCCAC